ATAGTGCCAGCAGCTAGTTAGCTTTGCATAAAGACAGGAAACAGCGCGCATGCGTTTAGTGTATCGTGCGTGTGAGCGTGCCCTGCTGGCTAGCTCACGGCCGCTGCTCTGCACTGCTCTCATACGGCGGTTACAGCAGCTAACACTGTCCTGACTAACGATATGGTTGTGGATGCGTACCACCCACCCTCCGGTTCCCCCTCAGGGATGCACTGTTAGCTCTGTCAGCACTTTCGCCATAGTTTGCATTGTTAGCGCTGTGAGCCGCCTGCGCATGCATTGCCATGTTGAGAGCCATTGAAAGGCAATAGAAATGCTCACAATCTCATTGTAAGAGCCATATGAGACTTGATAAGATGTCTTAAGTGATTTGTGTAACAAACATGTGGAAATGCTCCTTTAGTTGCATTACTTACTACGTCACAGCCAACAGCCCTCAGTTGAGGTTATTCAGTCTGCGGAGCAACATAGTTTTTTGACCGTTGTGCTAACGCTGTGACAAGTTGAGCAAAGAATGTATATTGTAACCTTATTTTGTTGAGTAAACCTTTTTAAATGAAGCTACTGCCTACGAAGATTCATTACGCGTCAAGCTTATTGCCAAACCCAGACTGTAACAGTAGTGGTAATGTGGACTATCGGACGGACGGAAGATTGCCGCTACACTCATATTATGCACCTTTATACCAAAATATAAATTGCGATTTCCTGAAACTTCCAGGAATTACTGAGCTTGGCCAAACAACAGTCTGGCACACAATTCCTTGTACTTTTTGTACAAAACAAGGTGTAATGTATTCATAAAGTTTGTCACATAGGAAAAACATCAGAAAACATTAAATAAACAGGATGAAAAATAACTGACATCACTGGTTAGATTTGAACCGAAAGCATTGGAGGAGCACAGCAAGTGCCCATTGATTTCAATGGTTACTGTTTCATTTGGACTCCTACGGCCTTTTTCCTAAGTAATAGTCTGTACACACAATACAAAAGAGAGAGAGTTATGTACCTGATATGAATTTACTGATTCAGTGAACTGATTTGACCTACTGTGGACTGAACACTTTGATAGATGTGGCCCTCATGAATACAACCACACACATATTGAATTCAACCACCACCATATGCTACAATGCTTTTCATGAAATCAGAGTAACGCTTTTATCTCCTACAACAATCTCTCAAAGCAAAAAAAAACATTAGGCTTATACATGTACAATAAGTTTGTTTAAAGATCCATATATCTGTGTCTGATTGGCTTGCTGTCTTACAGGTCAACTCATGTGGTTAAGTTTTTCCTAGTTGCTTGGGTGTTATGTAACAGCGGAGATCAAAGTCACACATTGGCTGCTGATTTCATGGGAACTTGCTGGTGCAAAATTCTGCTTTAAAACCTTTGAAATAAGTCGCTCTACACACTGTATATTTGTGTAGGATTTAACGATGTCAGCAGGGTGACTAATTCCTTGCCTGGAGCTGTTCGCATTGCCGTCCCGTACCAGACCGAACACACGGCCAGGCTGCACTGAGCTACAGATAACTAATGATAAGTAAAGATGTGAATAGATTCAAATGTGATTATAAAGCAGAGATTTTAACATTAAAAAAAGTGTTGTGTTTGACTGTGTTTTTGTAATTTGTTGCTGCAGCTTGGCAAGGCCTCCCTTGCAGAACAGGTTTCCAGCTACAGTTAGACTCACCTGGTTAGTTAGATATTAAAATAAAATATGGAAACTATAAAGTGTATCATAAGACATGGCAACAAAAGAGTATTATACACACAGGAAAGACACAACCGTACCTGCTCCGAGGTTACTTGCACTCCAGCAATTTAGTGTGTTTTCTTTAAGTCGCTTAAAAGAGACAAAAAATAAGAATGGTCAACATTTTCTCTTTAAATATGCAAATATTATCTAATGCTAACTGTTGGTGAAATTGGGAGAAATGTACAGACGCAATTGGATAGTAAAATAAACACCTAAATGTGTATTTTGGATGTTTTCTCTCCACTAGTCTAACTAAGAAGATGTCTTCTGGAAGCAAAATGGCCCAAACTCTCAATGTTGACAGGTGATATTTTGATACACCTCAGAACCAGTGTCCTTTACCGTTCTACTTTCAACAGAAAAAATAGTCCCAATCAAAACTGTCAGAATAAATGTCAGATCCTGGGAAAGTTAAAACAGAACCATCTACTTGGTGTGTGAGGGTGAAATGACCAGTTAAGCTCTCACGAAACAAGGCCTTGTTGTTTTGATTAGATCACTCCGATCATATTGCTCCATGATCGTAGTGCAGACAAAGAAGGATCTTGGCACTAATGTGAGACAAACACACACCAGAGAATCATGTTTTCTCCTAGTCACATTTCCTTTTTTTTATCACCTGATGGAAGACGCACATGACTTGTCTACCACCGTTTAGCATGCCATTTATCAGCTCCTGCATCAGTTCTGCTTTGGTTCTAGCGCATTTCCAGACTGGGATTGTCTAGTGTTCTCTTCAACCGAGTGTGACAGCAGACGTGGAGGAGCAGCAGGTGTTTTCTGCTGTTTGTCAGTGAGCACATGAGGGGACAGGGTGCAGGGAGTCACTGAAAGACCCTGACGATGGAGAGCAGCTTCACAGGTTTCCTCCAGCGTCGTGACGACGTTCCTGTCAACTTGTTTATGATTCAGGATTCTCTGCATCGCCACCTCTATCCTTAACATTTCCAACAGAAATAATCCTAATTTATCGCTGATTGAAAGAAAAGACTTGCTTCTAAGAGCTGAGGTCAGTGGAGGGCTTGTTCCACGGATCATTGGGTCCCCGCTACTGTACAATCACATTTTCATTCAATTAATGTGTGTTGTTCACAGAGTCTGGAGGACACTCTGACACTGCTCTTGCAATGTGTTTGTCTAAGCCACTGCATTGCTTGTTTAAGCTTAATTGCAATGAATTGGAGCCTAGGTTGTGTTTATTGTTTGAGGAGAGAAGCTCTCTCGGGCCAGGTCTACTTCCTGAGACCCAGATTTTGTTCCTCCTCAGACTAAGACTCAGATTTTTTGTGTGTCTGGCATTAGCTGTTTGACACACAATCAAGATCCAGAGGCTTTTACATTTAGAAAAATCTAAATTTGACGTAACCTTACCCCAGAGTGTTAAACTTGTGGTTATTTGTCTAGAAACTGTGGAGAAGCCTGTTCTTCTGTGCTAATGGGGGTCATGAGATGATCTCACCGAACCATAGCAGGAAAAAGAGAGTGTGGGAAACGGTGCTCATGTTATGAACTTCCGCTTTATGTTGATAATATATGATGACATGCAAAAGGTCATGTTTGCGTGAAACAATGGCATGGACTTGAATTTACAGCTTCACGATATAGACCACATATCTTTTCATGTTTACAGATATGAAAAGTGATACAACAACAACTATATGTCCACATGTTTAATTCCACATCACAATATAAAAGGAATACAAAATAAAGTGCATAATTTCAAGACCGTATTAGAAAATAAATTAAAAGACCTTGTTTAATAGGCCGCTTGTTTGTCAAACTTTAACCAAATCTCATTATACCGTAAAATCTTGAGGAGCGCGATACCCACCATTTATCCACACGAACAAGATTGTCTAGAATTAACAGCAACAAGAGAAACAAGAAAGGCAAGAATGTGATCCGCGACATGAAGCAACAATCTGGAGCCAAGTTAATAACAGGGAAAAGGAAGCAGACTGTGGGCTTCAAAGCTGCTGAAACTAAGACATGAAGCTCATTTGAGTGGAAAAGCTCAAACAAACGTGGGTTCAAAAGTTCAGTCTATTATATATATAGTGGTAAGACAGCAGCTCAAGGTGTCAATTGACTAACGAGACATGAAAAAGGGGAACTCTGTCATTGGAAAAAATGTGGCACAGAATAGGATCACAAAACGCCAAGGTCCTCTCTGACCTTTTCTGTGATTTTGACTTGACAATAAAACGATTGCGTGAGAATAATCAGCAGAATAACTGCACATGAAAATAACTGGCCTAACTGATACAAAACATTCTGTAAAGTCCTGATTTTCTGGATGTTAGTGCTGGAAGATTGCGATTCATGAGCTTGCATTCTGATCAAACAAATACTTAGGATAATCCCTTTTAGAGCTGTGATTAATCGATAACAACCTTCTCCTAGAGAAGAATCATTTTTTTACTAACAACATTTTACACAACATCGACCACCTGGAACACCATTTTTCTCAAGCCGACAGGTGAAATGTCTTCATATTAGTACTCCAACTGATTTTCTGGAGCTAGTGTTAATGACTATGGAAGCAAAGTTCTTATAATTTGAGATGACGTGTGTGTGTGTGTGTGTGTATTCCAGGGCCCAGGAACAAAAACGCGGTGTTCACCACATAATAATACTGCACTGTACATTAGTCATGGAACTAACACAACATGTTCTTCAAAAAGAGCTGTACACCAGAGTTTTTTTTCAAACAAAAGCAATCCTTACAATGGCAGCACACATGCCAGTGTTACTCATAAGGATCACATTCAATACTGTTTTCATTTACCATAGTGACCACAAAGCGTGTGACTCGATTATTCAAAATTTCTGGCCCCATCTCCTTTACAGTCAAGGTTTTTACGCAAGACTGAAGAAAGTAGCTGAAATTAGGAAGGATAGCTTTTCCATCGCTGACACTTGAGTCACGGAGAAGTGGCTCGTCTCTGTTAGAACATCTGTTTTGGGCAAAATGACAAAGTCTGCTCACACGGTCAGAGTCAGTCATCACTTGAGGTAGCTGTGTGCTGAAACAGAGAACAACAGGAGGGTCACAGCACTTCAAGTTTTTTCTTTCTTTCTCGCCTCATGTGCCCGACTTCACAAGAGGAGTCAGTTATTATTTTTATGTGCCTTCCCCAATTTTTCAGAGGTTGAAGAGCTCACTCTTGGAGGAGTCGTTCAGAAGACAATCTACCTCAGAGCAAACCTTTCTCCTTGTTCAGAGTTAAGTCAGATGCATTTCTCCTCCTCTGTGTCAGCGCTCAATGACACCTGGAGTGCCGGGTCGTTTGGGCATGGCAGAGCTGAAAACTCCCTCATTAGAGTTGTCCCTTCTCTACTCTGAACCTCAACGCTGCCCTGCTTGAACGAATAGGAAGCTTGTGAGTTTCTGACGGATGAAGGTCGTGAACCAGAGAGTCCGTCTGCTTTGTGGCAGGTTCCTTTGTACACTTCACTTCCCTCTGGCAGGTAGAGGAAGGTCTGGGAGGTGCTGGTGAAGTCTCGCAGGTCGTGGGAAACCAGGGAGTGCGAGTCCCGGTTCAAGATGGCCGAGGAGAGCCGAGTGTCTACTGTGTCTACACAGTGGAAGTTCCCCGGCTTCTGTTGCCTCTGTGCTCCCATCTTGCAAAATAAGTACTTGATTTTCTCAATGAGCTTGAGGAGAACAGCCTTGCGGAGCAGGATGTAGATCCAGGGGTCAAGAATGGGGTTGAAGGAGGCGAAACGTATCGCTCGTAGATCAGGGTTCTTGTCCAGCCTCAGCTCCACTGGAGTCTTATACAGCTGGTTGAGAAACACCTGAGCCTGCAGAGGAAGAGAGAATACAGATTGAATAGATTAGAGGAAGAGCGAAAAGCATAATGAAAACATGGAGCACTAAAAGAGAAAGAGTGGGTAAAAGTTAAACAATTACAAATAGAAATATGTTTGAACGTTTTACCCACTGGAATTTGGATCAAATTCAATGTTAAAAAAATAAAAACCTTTCTGCTTAAAAAAGCCTTGCGTAAAAGGTGCATAATGGATAGAAGGGACAAAAGAGTATGGGAGTAGTGGCTTAAAAAAGGGTAAAGAAAAGGCTGTTAAGTACAACACTAATATCTTCTAACTTTGCTTTCTAATCATCCACTTGAACTTAGGTCAAAAAGCATGACCACAGTGTTTTGTCCACACAAAAAGTGAGTAAAAGATCAGTGCGTAAAGGACAGAAATAGCCCACAGGGCACGGAGAACTTACGACTAGTGGTATGGAGCAGATAAGCACCACTACCGAAGTGCCTATAAGCAGAATGACCATCTGAATCTCTGCACCGGCCAGACGTCCAAAGCTGCGTCCTCTCTTTGGCGGCTCCACGTTGCGCCCTAGATCGGTTCCCAGCGACGTCCTGCGCACGAAGCGCCGGTGCATCCGGATCAAAGCCGCGCACACCAGCACGTTACAGACAACAGTGGCGAGAATGAGAAGAGAGCTGAAACCCGCATACGTATATGAGTAGGCGGCATCGCTTGTCTTGTTGCTCCTCCACTCTAGAAAACACCAAGTTTGCGGGTATTGTTTCTTCACCTGTCCAAAGCCGACAATCGGCAGGGCGCAGAAAAGCGCGTTGGAGATGTAGATCGCCAGGAGGGTCAAACCCGCAAGTTTCTGGTCCACATAGTCATTGTAGAAGTAGGCATGGTTTATAGCGATGTATCTCTCCACCGACATGGCACAGATGATACTGAGCCCCGACAGGGAGAAGAAAAGCAAGGTGAATCCGAAGTACTGGCACAGCGGGTCCTCTCCTGGCCACGATCCTTTCACGTAAGTGGCGATGGTGACCGGACTGGCCAGCAGTGTGCCCAGGAGGTCCGTGACTGCCAGTCCACACACCAGCGTGTAAAACGTGGTTTCCTTCTGTTCCTTGCGAGATTTACAAAGAACCACGATGGCGATGACATTCCCAACCACCCCGAAAATGAACATAATAGACGGAATGGTCGGGACCATGGTCCTCCCTGTCATCGACTGATTACTCATCGTTATGTCCTTCAAATGCAGTTCAAGACTAGTGAAACTATTTTTCTTAACGCCAGTATGTCCAGTCCAGACCAGGAAACTTATTTGCACGTGAAACAAACCGTGGCAACATTTTAAATATCAGGGGGGAACAGATTGCACCTTTTCTTAAAACCAACTTCTAAAAAAAGATCTCCTCCCGGCAGAGCATCGTGGCTGCTGCTGTCGTTACCTACGGCAACAGATCCTCAGCTGTGCGAGACAGAAGCACATTTCACTCACCAGGTCGGAGAGATAAAGGCGGCCAACAGACACCGGTGGCTTCATTGAAATTAGGCTCTGCCTTCAAGTTTCCTGCAGGGTTCAGTCCCTCCCCTTCACTTCTCTCCACAACCCTCGTAAGCTGCTGCAGGGAAGGCCTTGGAAACATTTTGCAACACCATCACACAGAAGTTAACCTAAACACACAACAAAACACAACATGACAACACAACATTTTGAAATAAAAAAATCTCACAAAAGACAATTAAAAATCTTACAAGTGTATGTGTGCTTTTAAAATGACCATATTGTCAAATTAACATTATGTTTGCATTATATTTTAGGCAACTAGTTTAGGCTTCTGGAGCAATAATGATCAACAGTTTGATAATTCCACAGATCGAAAATGTGTTCTTTGTTAGAACCAAACATTCCTGTAATCTTAAAAGTGGCACAAAAAAGCAGGATAAAACTAAAATATATGAAGAATAATCTTTGCAGAAGCAAGGTGAAATAAATTACAATAAAGAAGAAAATGTAGGAAATAGAAATATGATATTAAAATATGATTCATATAAAAGACACGACTAAAACTTGCTGTAAAACCCAAAGAGAAAAATGTAGGTATAGTTGTTCTAAAATGATTTCCTGACTATGAAACTCATTGGTATAGGATTGATTTGGGATCTTTGTTTTCTCCATAATTATGGTTAAAAATCAACAAAAAGTCAAACCACTTATCATTTGTTCCCGGTTATTCTCTTATTCGGATTTGTTCACCAAATGTCATGCAAATATATTCATAAACCTGTCAGCTATTCTGCTCAGAATTTATTTTTTCTAAGAAAAACAAAATTGAAGAGCCTGTTTCTATGAACATGTTGTTAAAAGAACATTTAATCAGGCCATTAAAATCCAGTCCTCTAACACATTTTGTCTCAGTAAAAGCTCATGTAAATGACAACAACATAATGAAATTGGTGCCGATCATTTATGGGAGAGAAAATAAACACGCTGTCCTGCTGAGAGGGCGATGACACCAGTGTCTCTGTGACTTTAACTGAAAAACAAAACATGTGATTATTCACTCTGTGTGGCATAGATCTCTTTATAAAAAGCTCCTGGAATCAGATATTTCTTCGTCCAGACATTCGGACCTGATTTCTTCCACAGAATGATCAGAAAGAAGCTGTGAGGTTGAGAGCACCATTTAGATTGATGCTTCTTTAAACATGTTTTTAACAGTGAGCTATTTATTTTGATCATGTCTGATTCTAATGACCATAGGGTTTGCATGTTTTCATAAATTATTCATAAAACACCATGCTGCTAAAACTGACATTTGACTTGTTGTTTAAAATGAAATATTTTTTTAAAAAGAGTGAAAAACACCAAGAAGCTCTTGCAATAGTAGTTAGCAAGCAGCAAACATGCACGCAGATTAGCTTGTTAGCTCGTCTACCACCTCCATTCTTGGTTTTTTGTTGTTTGTTTCCCTTGTGATTGATTTCCACGATTGTTAGAATGACAGTTCCCGCTCAGGAGACTTGCTTTGAAAAACAAAACCACCAACATCACCAAACTCAGGTGGGTGGGGTTTATCTGTGCTGGTGATGTCAGCAGTGGGCGAGGGACACTTGTGGCTGGAGCTCGTCTGTCGTCTGTGTGTGATGTAATCAACCCCGAGCCAACTGTCGGTTGTATTGCGAAAAAGCATGTTTTGTTTTGTTGTCAAATCAGTAGGATTTCAACACTTTGAATAACTCCAATAAGTTCAGATCTGCATCAGTAAGAACACTCACACCACTTCAGACAGTTTCCTCAACGTAGACTGCGACTGCTTTCCCGTTGAACTCTGAGGAACCGAGACCCTGAGCCCTGCTGCGTGACATCAGCCCACCAGGCTGACCCTGTGCTCTTGGAAAACACACTTGTTGTTTTCTTTGTTGCCACTTTCTGGCATTTATTTAAACATAGAAAAGGAGGAAACTCCCTGTGATTACGGGCGTAGTATAGCCTTGGAAAAATAATGAAACAATATTTTCTTAAGCATGCCAGAGTGTCGACTGAATATACCATGATTGGCCTTAACGTGTCAACCCTTTGAAAAACAGCCATTATGTAATGTGTTTACCACCCTGTGCGTATGAATGAAATATGATTTCAGCCTCCTCTTGAGTTGTTCTGTATGTGTGTGTTTGGTTTCAATCCTCGCAGAATGTTCTGTAAGTAGATTTGAAAGATTAGGGTTCACATGAATGTGCTTTTCCTGGATTTGTTTGTTGAAGTCAGATAACCTGCAGCGTGGTGAAACTGCAATGACCCCCACCAACTGCTAAAAGAATCGCAAATACAATTCAAGTCTATGTTTTGTGAACAGACAATCGCACAGCCTGTTTGGGCATTTGTTTTTCTGGTAATACTTTGTAGTTTAAAGAAAGAAAAGAAAAAACAACTTCCAAAACACACTTTTTCTTCCATGGCTGTAATTCCTGTGCCAAACAATTGCTACATTGTGGACCATGACTACATTCCTGGAAAGTTTTTTTTGTTGGCTCTATTGATTCTTATATCCTCGTGATAGCTGTTATGGATTTGACTTTATTTCTTACAACCAAGAGACAATTAAACCAAGGCAGGAACACTAGAAATGCAATTACAGGAATGTGGCATACTGGATTTGCCACAATATTTAGGTGTGCCTCTAGACAGTTTCCCTTGCAACAATGCGTCTGTGTTTCGGTTTAACATCTGGGTTGAGCCCATGGTTTATTGCCTGAGATCACGGTGTGCCACAGACCTTTTTGTTTAAAAAAACAACAGCTACCTGCAGAGTCGAACATGATGTCTGCGGACGGGTACGGACACATTCGGTAGCTTGTGGGATAAAGAAAACTGTCTTCATTCCAGCTTTACTGTACACACCCACATATTTAATAACTGACATAACGGACTCTGTACAAGCACAATTTGCATTTCAACTGACTTGTATACATGCTGATGATTTAAACTTTCACAACAATAAAAGCAGACATGATATGAGCGGTCTAGTTCCAACAGTCTCACTTTGATAATGTTTCCACGTTGTTGAGGGGAAAGAGTTAGTCTGGCTCTTTTCTAAAGGAACTAAGTCACATATACCAGCACCTCTAAAGCTCACTAACAAACATCTTACATCTTTTCTATAATCTGTAAAAAAATCTGCTGGTCCAGCGTTTATGCTAAGCTAAGCTGCTGGCTCCAGCGACATATTTACACAGAGTGCGGCTTCAATATTGAGCTTTGCCAAAATGTCAAACTCGTCATTTAAAAGGTGAGTTGCTTCCAAAGCCAAAAATAATAGAAATCAATCTTTTTTCATGTTGTGGTAAAAACAAACAAAGCAAATACCTGGAAAGTTGCAAAAAACACTCATTCACGAATGTGTAAACATATATGTTTTAAGAAATTAAATAAAATAAAAGCAACCTTGCTTCAGAAATTGTTTGTCAGTAAATGATGTGGGTTAAAACATACAAAAACATTGGCCTGGTTATTTAAGGTGGTTGCTTTGTGTGTGAAATACAAATGCATGTCAACAGCACTTGTTATTATGAACCTTGATCATCAATATAGATAACACCTTTGTCCACATTGCTATTTCAAGCTTTATTTTTTTATTTTTTTTTATTTATTGGTTTATTTGATAAGGGACAGTGCACATTAATAAAAACATTGCTGTAAATGCGCCAGAGTTAGCTAAAAGGCTATTTTTCATCTGTAGTCCCAAGAGGCAGATGTTACAAAATAAACCGAAAAACTGAATGTAAGATTCAACTTAAAAGGTTATAAAATATTGACGCTTTAATGCGTGCACAAACAATGAAAAAAAGTGAGAATATTAATATATGTAGTATCTTCACTCAGGAGACTCTTATACATTGTCAAGTACGAACAAGACATGCAACACAGAGGCTCTCAAGGCTCTCAAGGCTCTCTCAGGCGTTAAACTGGTACTTTTCAATGAAGCACTTGACAGTTACTTTACTTACTATCATCCCTCTTGACTTGAGTCTGGGATTCCCAACATTTTGGAGAATAACCCCAAAGTTGTTGTCCTTGACACTCTGCCGGCAGCCTTTTTGTAAGTGGAAAGTTTAGAGAGAGTTTGGACGTGTTTATTCTGGGGTCTGGTAGATTTGTAGATAACATCCGTATGTGATCTCACTCAGCATAACAAAGAGAATCAGATGTAAACTGTTTGAACTGGCACAGAGTATGACATGTGATGCCAACATGATGACAACAGAAACGCTTTGTCTGCTTTTTGAAATTATTCACGGCAAGCATCTCATTAAACTGTCATTAATTAGTTTGGGCTGCTGAGTCTAAATCATCAAATGTAATCATATCTGATCTCTAACTCCTTGAAGATATAGATTCACCGCATACAACCGCTGTAAATGTCTTGAATGACCTGAGCGTAAAACATCCCTCTAATGTCAACATCTCTGTTCACACAAAGTCATCAAACCCAGAGAGGTTTACCCTTGAGGCTTCAGGACTGCAAAGCCTGGCACAGTACAGAAGCAGGCTCAAGCTCATTCAAGTCAAAATGACAAAGGGCACTATTACGCACTTTGCATTTAATATTAACGACCTTTCACCAGGACGGTTTATCCCTAAAGAGGGTATGATGCATATCATAGCAACAGTCAAACAGCAGCATAATGGAAAGTTGCTTCAAACATGTTAATCCATCCAAACTGTTCAGACTCCTT